TATTAATACATAATTTTTTTTGGGGGGGAGGGGTCGCTGGTGTGGCAACATAAGTCTATTATGTTGTGAGATTAGATTAGATGATTAGATGGGATTAAATTACGTTTTAATGAATCCCATGGGATAAGYGGATGGCCATGGCAACGAGAAAAACATTGAGGAAACATGGAAATAATGAAGAAGCAGCTGGAAACAAACAGATACAACAACGCTGAATCACAGATTAGAGTTTCATCGCTTTTAATTGACCCCCAGGTCCCTGTTTTTTACTCTCTATATATATATATTTATCTATTTTACCCAGTGAGATTATTTACTTCTTCTTCTATGGAGACCTGGTCAAGATGGCGGCACAAATGGGTTCAAATCAAGGCATAAAAGTCTCAAAACATGAGAAGTTAAAAGACAATGCATGAAAGATAAAAGAAATTAAACGATCTCAGATCTAATTAATATGTCCCTCTGCTGGGTCGGAGTAAGAAAARCGATTATAAGTTTATTTAAAAGTGGGAAGAGACGGGTGTGTCTGCAAAAAGTGCAAAAAGTGTCCGTTTAACCACGTCTTATTTCCAGTCAAAAGGTTTTTTGATCTTGTTTTGAGACTGAAAAACACTGCAGGGGTGTTTTATTATTTGATTTTTTTTCCCCTTATTTCAACAAGTGTAATTGTTTTACTGCACTGGCAGCTTATTTCACTTAATCTGAGAAGATCAAACTATAATCTAATATTTTTTAAACTTTTAGATGACTAATTTCATTGCAGTGTGAAAACTGACACTGAGCACAAATTTTAAAATCCCCGATCCCCTCTGGATTTTTATTATTTTCTTTTTTTGTTCGTCATGTTTATTACTTCAAGTATTTTTGCAGAAAAAGGAGAAGAGAACAATAACAACAACAAAACAAAATGTATACAGCACCATTACAAAAAACAAAACAGGAGTCATGCACATCCCCTCTGGGTTTTATTTTGGATCTAACGTCTAAAAGAAACTTGTTGACCCGAGTGCTCTGACTCGACACATTAACCACATTTAGCCTGTTTTTATTTTCTTCCTTTAAGGAGGCTGTGCCGCAGACCAAACCACAATGTGAGCAAACACCAGATTACTGAAACTTTGTCATAAATTAACACAGAGCAGGACAGATCAGCCTGTGTTTCATAGATAATCTGTAAGATTATCATTTAGCCTTTGTTTAACCAGACAGTCCCACTGACATAAAAATGAACTATTTTTCAAGATAATTTTGAAAAACATCCTTACAGGAGAAAACTGACCTTTCTAATCCTAAAAACTCAGACAATGCAAGAAAAAAAAGYTACAGAGAACCTCCACCTTGAGCTAAAAGCTCAAATTTGATTCATAATCTGAGCATGTTTGAGCTCCTGGCCCTGCAGCAGTCACCTCCCAGCATCCTGGTGGGCACCGGAGGAGAGCTGAACTCACAACTTTGGAATGTGAGGGGAAAACCCCCCAATCCCCCCCCCCCCCCCCCACACACACACACACACA